ACTGTGCACAAGGCATGCTGCTAAAGGAAAAAAGTCAACAAAAAACTAAGAATGTGGGGCACGAAAAAATGTGAATAGTAAAGGGCAGTTTTATTGTTATGGTTTAATACCACTTTAAAAATGGCTATTATATTTTTTTATTTACTTTGCTACTGAGGATTAAAGTGGTTCTAAAGGCTGAAGGTTTTTCATCTTAATGTATTCTTTGCATTAAGGTAAAAAATAAACCTAAGTGCAGCTCCCCCCAGGGCCCCTTATACTTACCTGAGCCTGATCTCAATCCAATGCTGCACACGAGAGCAGCGCCTCTCTCTGCTCTCTCCCTCCTCACTGGCTCCTGCTGTTTTCAATCACACTCAGTGAGAAGGGAACAGGGGGCCAAGCTACGCTATATGTGTCCATGGACACACAGACCCAGCTCAGGAGCAAGCCGGGGTACGAAGGCCCCCATATCAAGCAGCTTACTCTGGTGGGCACTCAGCAGGGGACAGGAGCCAGGATGGTCAGCAGGGGACTCCAGCAGAGGAGAATTGGGACTGCTCTGTGCAAAACCATTGCGCAGAGCGGGTGAGTATGACGTGTTTATGGAAACAAACAAAAAAAGCAGCGCTAAATATTTTTAAATACAATCAATATTGCATACTGTGAATAAACTCAATATTATAAATTGTAAAAAAAAATACTCTATAAACAGTGAAAGTCATATTCTGGTAAACAAATGTGTATAAAAAAAAGTGTTCACACACATATACTAAGTAAATTATGTGAATCCATCCCACAAAGTGTATTACAAAGTTAGATAGCATAAATACAATCCAGTCCAACTAAGCAAACTGGGTATATCTAAAAACAGTCCAATCCTTCAATGTGGATGGCAAGCTGCACGTTCCACAAAGGTTGTGATGTGATCCACCATAGAAAGAAGATTCCACCAGTGATACATGTAGACAGACATCTCTTACCAGATGTGATGGACCATTAAGTTATAAATGATCAAGACACATTTGGTATCAATATCCACCAATGGCTCCACCAAGGCACTCTCATTAACATCCATGCAATGATATATGAATGAAGAGTTTCCTGTGTGCTGGTGTCTGCTATGTACGGTTGAAATTTTTAGTCATCTGCCTCAAGATACCTGCTGTGATCTGTCTGGTGTCCGGACATGACAGACATCTCCCATCACTGAGAGCCGGGGCAGCAGCTGCTTAGTTTTATTATTTATGATTTTATTATTATAATACAGGATTTATACAGCGCCAGCAGTTTGCTCAGCGCTTTACAATATAAAGGGAGACAATACAGCAACAAAAGAGTTCAAGTGGTACAAGAGGTAATAACTGTGGGGGATGGACTGATTGGAGAAATAGAAGATCAGTTATTAGCTGAAGCCAGGATAGGCTTCCCTGAAGAAATAGGTTTTCAGGGATCACCAAAAAGTGGGCAGAGTAGGCGCTAGTCTGACAGATTGGAGTGGAGAATTCCATAGGATGGGGCGGCTCTGGAGAAGTCCTGGAGACAAGCATGAGAGGAGGAGATAAGGGAGCTAGAGCAGGAGGTCTTGAGAGGAGTGGAGAGGACAGTTTGGTTGATATTTAGAAACAAGATTAGTGATGTAATTTGGGGCAGAGTTGTAAATGGCTTTAAATCTTATTGTTAATGTTTTTAATTTTATTCTTTGGGCAATGGAAAGCCAGTGAAGGGATTGGCAGAGAGGGGTGGCAGACATAGAAAGGTTGGTCAGGTGGATGAGTTTGGCAGCAACATTCATGACAGACTGAAGAGGATATAGCCTGCGATTAGGTAGGCCAATGAGGAGTGAGTACAATAGTCAAGGCAAGGGAGTGAATAAGTTGCTTAGTGGTTTCAATGATTAAAAAGGGGCATATTTTGGAGATGTTACAGAGATGATGTCTACAAGATTTGGACAGTGATTGGATTTGGGGCTGAAAGGACAGATCTGTGTCCAGGATTACACCTAGTACCCTGGCATGAGGGAAGGGACTGATGGTTGAATTACTAATCTTGATGGAAAAGTCAGGGGAGGGGGCATGCGCTGGAGGGAATAATAAGAGCTTGGTTTTAGAAAGATTGAGTTTGAGGAAGTGGTGTGACATCCATACTGATATATCAGTAAGTTAATAATGCGAGAAGAAGCTGAAGGGGTGAGATGAGGAGAAGAGAGATAGATTTGTGTGTCATCAGCATAGAGATGGTACTTGAAGCCATAGGATTTAGTCACGTGACCAAGGGAGGATACATAGATGGTGAAGAGATGGGGTCCAAGGACAGAACCATAGGGGACCCCTACAGCAAGAGGAAGTGGAGAGGGGGAGACAGAGTTATAGGTAACACTGACGGAGTGCTGTGATAGTTAGGAGGAGAGCCAGGAGAGAGCAGAGTCTTGCAGGCCAAGAGAGTGGAGTTTTTTTTAGGAGGAGGGGATGGTCAACAGTATAAAAAGCAGCAGAAAGTTCGAGAAGTAAGAGTATAGAGTAGTGGCCATTGGTTTTAGCAATTAATAAATCATTAGTGAGTTGTAGTACGGCAGTTTCAGTGGAGTGCTGCGAGCAGAAGCCAGGCTGCAAGGGGTCAAGAAGGCTGTTGTGAGGTAGGAGCTCAGACAATTGTAAACTAAGTGTTCTAAGAGTTTAGAGGTAAATGAGAGAAGGGAGATGGGTATTAAGTTGTTCAGGTTGATGGGGTCCAGTGAGGGCTTTTTAACTATGGGAGTAATTTGTGCATGCTTTAGAAGGGAGGGGAAGGTGCCAGTAGAGAGGAAGAGATTGAAAATGTGAGTGAGGGAGCATAGGATAGAAGAGGGTGACCACAGTATTGAGAGGGAACAGGATCCAGGGGACAGATGGTAAGACAGGCTTCTGAGAAAACTTTAGTGACCTCTTAGGTAGTAGCAAGGTCAAAAGAGTAAAATGTTGAGGGTGGTTTTTGTATAGGGTATGCCAAGTGGGATAGATATTTGTGCAGTGGAGATGCCCCCACAAATTGCATAAATCTTGTTTTTGAAATGATCGGCAATCTCATGAGCAGCAAGTGAGTTACAGAATGGAGGTGGTGGTGGAGAAAGTAGAGAGTTAAAAACAGAGAAGAGACGATGTGGACTGCATGACAAGATAATAATAAGAGTTGCAAAGTAGGCTTGTTTGGCAGCATGGAGGGAGGAACCGTATTTTAAGACTTAGCGCGGATATCATTTATTATGACATGTTTGTTATTTTAAAAAAATATAGGTTTACAATCACTTTAACAGAGCAGTAGGGAAAAAAAAAATCTATGCAACATAAAATCGACAAAGCTTCTCAAAGCAAATACTGATTTTCTGAAAGCTAGTACTTGCATAGTTTAGAAAACACTCTCCCCATCCATATTGTGGCAGAGAATGTCACAGCACCTCTTTGCCATGCATAGGTCTACAACATTTTTAACAGCCCTGACCTACATGTATAGAAATATAATACATAATAAGCAAAAAAAAAAAAAAAACCATAGTTCACTTTTCCCTCAATCGCAATACTTTGATGCTTACATATTTTAACATTTACATTTGGAAAGAAGGAATAACTACTTTTAAATGTATGAAGGAGCTGCAGGCACCATGATTTATGCAAATGCAAACAACAGAAGAAATCCTAAATCATGTGTAGCAATCACAGCACTGCAAATGAAGCACAACAAACCGCTGCACCATAAAAAATCTGTATTTTTTTTATTTTAGCTTAACCCCATAGTATCCATTTTGGTATTCACTCTGGAAAGAAAGGGTTGTACTTGCCAAAAGGGACTTCTGGTGGGCTGCCAAGGACATTTGAGGGCAGCCCCACCAATACAAACTTTGCACATTTAGATTTATTTATTAGATGCTCCCACTTATTTAGTGTAGTGAGTCAAACAAAAATGGAGCTGTAAAGCCTGCAACTAATGTGAACTGCTAGAGCGATCAGTGAATTCTACTCCTCCCTGACCTTTTCCTGATGCTGCCATTTATTTTGGGGTATTGTTAGGGCAGAATCTAGGAGACAAAGTTCTTGGGGTAACATATAAAACTTCACCCCTCTCCATATGCTACTAAAGAAAAACCAAAGCAATTTTTTTTTCTTTTGGATATAATGGTAAACAGTTAGAACATCTGTCAAAGAATTTATTGATTTCTGGTGTAACTGGGAAGATTTAGTTTCACTTCCTGCAACCTTTTTTTTTTTTACCATATTGAAACTGAATGGAAAATTATAAAGGAGACACAGAAAGCAACAAAAGCGAATAATGGTGAAAGCCCTGTTCTTTTAGTGGTCTGTGTCCCTGCTGGAGAAAACCATTGGAGATCCCCACTGGTGTCATAGTTCTACAAACAGAATAAATCTCACTAGGGTGTAATCGAATGCAAAATTAGCAACTTAAAGCAGATCTCCACACAACACCCCCCCCCCCCCCCCCATTTTCCTTTCTTTTTTTCTCCAGGAAGTGGGATCTGCACCTTTCAGATACTCACCCATCCAGCATTGGCCCACTAAGGTCCTCTCAAGCCCTGCCACCTCTCTGTCCCGCACCACCATGTTGTTTCTGACATCACTGAGAGGCCCACTGGTTCAGCAAGCAGGTCTCCCAATGACACGCCACTAGGCCCACCCCCCCTCCTCCTCTGTGGATGAAACAGTAAGGCCTCCTGGGATATGTGATGTACAGTACATATCCCAGGAGGCACAACGGGCACATGACATGTCATTTGCCCAATAGAATGATGTGTATTGAAGGCCGGACCAAACCCGGTGTCTGAAAAAAAAAAGGTAACAAAAGCCGCTATACATGTAGTGGAGCAGAGGAGGGTGGTACTTTCAATTTATGGGTGAAGATCTGCTTTAAAGAATAGATTTAGCAACCTTTAGAGGCCAGCCCCAATCCTGTTGCTGCCATCTTTTTCAGTCTAGTACATGCTTGAAACCAAAAGGTCCCACACGGCTCTTGGGTCCCGGCAGAGCACTGCAGCACATTTGTATAGGCTTCTTGAGTTCTGGGCATTAGTCCCTGAGTGCATACTGTTCTAACTGTTCATACCGCTAGATGCACTATCCAGCCACAGTAACTGTCAGCCTCCCATAGAGTTTGACAGACTGACCCAGGGGCGGACTGACCATTTGGAAACTCGGGCACTGACCGAGGGCCCGGGGTCAGTAGGGGGCCCCATGAGATGCCCCTGGTACCTTTTTCATAGGCTTTTTTGAGTTTGGGCAAGGACACAGGGGCCCCATGATGCCCTATTGCCCGGGGGCCCCATGAGTTGTCAATCCGCCCCTGGGCTGACCCTGTTGGGGCTGGAAGACAGACCTGTGCCCTCCATTCACAGATAAACATCAAAGCCCCATGAACTGGGGCTAAATGCCCAGTGTGCATGGGGCCTTATGCTCTGTGAGAAAGAGTTGTAGAAACTGAGAGTTCCTCATGTGAAAGGTATGCTTATCCCCTTGTGTTTTAATTTGTTTGGCATGATGTTGGTTAGGCAGAGCGGCATGTAACTGGCATTCCAGGATAGTGTGATGACATTTAGCTGTAGACTCGCACCAAAAAGTCAAGTACACATATGGAAACCATCCGACAGCAATGCAAAAGGATCCCTGCTCTATAAATATTCTTGTATCTCCTGACAAATTAATTTGCTTAATAAAATATACATTAAAAAACGCACTTGTCTGTGCTTCTTTATTGGTTGTAACAACGTGACATAATTTGAAATTCCCTTTTAATCAAGCAGCATCCACAGCTCATGCTTCTAATTGATCTTATGTGGAGATCAACATTTAATACAGGAATAGGCAGATTTGTTATTTCATCCCTGTCCTCATTCATGACTCCAAAGCTCAAGCTTGCATACGCAATTTTTCCACTACTCATAATATCATAATACACAAATCCAGAAATTATGAAGCTGACAGCCTTATATACAAGAGGATTCACTCATCGGTAAACACAATGCAGTTTCGCTTCTTTCTAGATGTCATTCTTTTTTATTTTCCAAATTTTAGTTGAAAAAGCTGTTCTAAATCATTTATACAGCTGAAATGAGGACAAACCAAACACAAGACAACACAGACAATAATGACCAACTGCTAGTAAATACAGGTACCTTTTGTTTTTTGAACAAAAATCATTTGACAAACCATTTAAAGTGCAAGTATGGGCAAAATCAAAAAATGGCATACCTAATGCAATCTTTCACCTGCATTGACACAGCAGTTTTTTTTCCTGAGTGCCCCTGTATATTTTCATTACATGTTGATCCTGCCAACAAATCTGTTATTTTTTCACTTCCTGTAATAGAGTGACAACACTGTCTCTTCTGCAGTAAATGTATACAGCAGCACTGTCATCCTGTGGACAACAGAGTTCTAGATGGGTGCGTAGTTGTTAAAGGGCTTTAATGAAGACCTTTACCAATTTTTCCAAGGTCTTCACTCCTGCCCTCTTCCCACCCACCAAATGTATATGAATTTTGTTTATTTTTACTTGCAAAATCCTGGTCTAGGTCAGGAAGATGTCACTCCCCTCCACATGCGAAGACAAGCCATGGGACTCTCTGGCAGTTCTCTGGTGTGGTATAGCCATCCCAAGAGCCATTTGCCCTGTCTGTAGATATGTGAGAGATCTGGTGCATGTGCAGACACTCTAAAAGGAACTCTGCCAGGTCCTGTAGATGGGATCTTGATTAAAGATGGTAGCACTAGAGAAGAGTGGCGAAGAAAGAACCTTTGCTTTAAGCAAAAGAAAGCCAGACCCCATGGGCTAGCAAATCATTTTTTTAATTTAATAACAGGGACAAATGTTAGGGATTGATGGGGAGATAGCAGGAGTGAAGTCTCTCTAGAAGTAAAAAGACAAACCAATTAAAGCCCAACTCCAGCTCTTGTGGCTTGAACTTAAGTCAGATCTGTCTGGTGGACTACAACCCCCTCCCCCCCCCGATTTTCAAAGTTTTAGATGAAGGTGTCTGTAGTCCAACAGGGAGAACGTAGACAGGGATGATAACAATGATAGGGATTTCAGTTCAGCAGAGGCAGACATCAGCATAAACAGGAAGTTAGGAGTTCACCGGATTTCTGGCAGGATCAACAGATGTTTTTTTCTTCTGTATTTGCAGCATTGTAATGAAATGAACATGCATTACACATATACAGTCATGGCCGAAATTGTTGGCACCCTTGATATTTTTCCTGAAAATCATGTATTTCTCACGAAACGTATTGCATTAACACATGTTTTGCTATACACATGTTTATTCCCTTTGTGTGTATTGGGACAAAACAAAAAAAGGGAGGAAAGAAAGCAAATTCGACATAATGTCACACAAACCTCCAAAAATGGGCTGGACAAAAGTATTGGCACCCTTTCACAACTGCGGATAAATAAGAATGTTACAAGCATGTGATGCTCCTGTAAACTCACCTGGGGCAAGTAACAGGTGTGGGCAATATAGAAATCACACCTGAAAGCAGATAAAAAGGAGAGACGTTCACTTAACCTTTGCATTGTGTGTCTGTCTGTGCCACACTAAGCATGGACAACAGAAAGAGGAGACGAGAACTGTCTGAGGACCTGAGAACCAAAATTGTGGCAAAATATCAACAATCTCAAGGTTACAAGTCCATCTCCAGAGAACTAGATTTGCCTTTGTCCACAGTGCGCAACATTATCAAGAAGTTTGCAACCCATGGCACTGTAGCTAATCTCCCTGGTCGTGGACGGATGAGGAAAATTGATGAAAGATTGCAACGCAGAATAGTCCGGATGGTGGATAAGCAGCCCCAAACATGTTCCAAAGACATTCAAGCTGTCCTGCAGGCTCAGGGAGCATCAGTGTCAGCGCGAACTATCCGTCGACATTTAAATGAAATGAAACGCTATGGCAGGAGACCCAGGAGGACCCCACTGCTGACACAGAGACATAAAAAAGCAAGACTACAGTTTGCCAAAATGTACTTGAGTAAGCCAAAAGCCTTCTGGGAAAACGTCTTGTGGACAGATGAGACCAAGATAGAGCTTTTCGGTAAAGCACATCATTCTACTGTTTACCGAAAACGGAATGAGGCCTACAAAGAACAAAACACAGTACCTACGGTAAAATATGGTGGAGGTTCAATGATGTTTTTTGGGGTTGTTTTGCTGCCTCTGGCACTGGGTGCCTTGACTGTGTGCAAGGCATCATGAAATCTGAGGATTACCAAAGGATTTTGGGTCGCACTGTAGGGCCCAGTGTCAGAAAGCTGGGTTTGCGTCCAAGATCCTGGGTCTTCCAGCAGGACAATGACCCCAAACATACGTCAAAAAGCACTCAGAAATGGATGGCAAAGAAGCGCTGGAGAGTTCTGAAGTGGCCAGCAATGAGCCCAGATCTAAATCCCATTGAACACCTGTGGAGAGATCTTAAAATTGCTGTTGGGAAAAGGTGTCCTTCCAATAAGAGAGACCTGGAGCTGTTTGCAAAGGAAGAGTGGTCCAAAATTCCGGGTGAGAGGTGTCAGAAGCTTATTGATGGTTATAGGAAGCGACTGATTTCAGTTATGTTTTCCAAAGGGTGTGCAACCAAATATTAAGTTAAGGGTGCCAATACTTTTGTCCAGCCCATTTTTGGGGTTTTGTGTGACATTATGTCATATTTGCTTTTCTGCCTCTGTTTTATATTTGTTCCAATACATACAAAGGGAATAAACATGTGTATAGCAAAACATGTGTTAATGCAATACCTTTTTTGTGTGAAATACTTGATTTTCAGGAAAAATATCAAGGGTGCCAACAATTTCGGCCATGACTGTATACAAAATATATTTTGTTCATACATACAATTTAAGATGACTGTTCTGCAGGCAAGGAGATGGCAGGACCTATCTACTGATCTGTTGAAAATGCACAAAGGCTGGACCCCCCTGAGACAAATTCATTTCTGAGAAAAGGGGGCTGATGTTGAACACAGCAGCCAAGTACTGGGGTTAGACAAAAAAAAATGGAAACAATACATGCTTTGCAGGTGTGAAACTGATGACATGTTTTGCATGGAAAGCAGAAGTGATGTAACATTATTTTGCTTCTGCTGTGTGATGAGACACCTAGCTAACAGGTGAAAAGTCTCACTTTTGTGAGACTTTTGTCATTCACTGCATGTGCTGCTAGTGATAAGGTGTTATGTCTGAGCTACTGAGCTTCTGTGACTGAAGCTGGCAATTTATTTGCTGTGTCGCAAGGTACAGCATCAAAGGTTATGGCGGCATATACAGGAAAATGTTGTCTGATGAGCATGTCGACCACACTTATGCTTAACTGACTGGAAGAGCCAAAAGGATGTTGTGCAGGATTGTGACCTGGAATAAGAAAACAACTTCTGCAAAGGTGATCGCAGAGCTTAATCCCAGTCTTCAAACTGATTTCTAAATTTTCATAAAGCATGGAGACATGGATGGATGGGTAAGTTTGCTTTTAATATTGAATAGCGTTTTTAGTTTGTGCTGGTCAGATACAGTTTAGTTCAGCTTTAATGAGCACTGCATAAATTATTTTTATTTATATACCAGCTCAACATTTTCCAGTAATTCATTTAAAAATATCTGGGCGTACTTAGATAATATATATATATGGCTACTAAGTTTCTGTGAAATATATCAGATGGCCACCAACAAGGAATTTTTCTTTAATGTAAAGAGTCATTTGCACTGAGGAATTGTATACCAGAATGATCAATCCATATAGCTCTTCATTAACCACTTAAGTCCCCAGACCTTTATCTTCTACAATCCCCTCAAGTCACAGAAAAAGTTTTTAATTTGGCTATTTTCACACATTATATGTTTTAGGTTTTATAATCTACTGCAACCTGGAATACATCATTTTTTGGGGGGACAGATAGGGATTTGATCTGGAAAGAAGCAAACCTGGATAAAACTTTGTTATGTAATATTGGGAATAAATGGTGAAAAAAATTGAAAAATGCATTTTCCTTTACATTTTTTCCAACATAACATTTACATAATTTGTGCACCCAGTCTGCGGATTAAAATATCACATTAGTGTGATTTTTATGTAACACAGTAAAACAGTAACGTTCAGAAACAGAGATTTATTCCCACCATGTGTAGAAAAATCTGACGGGTTGGTTGTACCCAAGTCAATTGAATGATCGATTTGGGTACAATAAGCCTGCCCATACATGTATGGCCAGCTCAAGTCACAATTATGAGGCCACTAATTAGCAGGACAGTAATTTTTCACAGGTTTGTGATTGCTAAAAACATAAAATGATATTATGTTCACTTACGTGAGCACTTTATGCAAACACCATCAAGATCATCCAACATCCTTTTGGTGACCCAAGGATTCTTTTTGAGAGAGGGTAGAGAGAGATACACACACATACACACACGCACACACACATACATACATACACTATATTGCCAAAAGTATTGGGACACCCCTCCAAATCATTATATTCAGGTGTTCCAATCACCTCCATCCCCACAGGTGTATAAAATCAAGCACCTAGGCATGCAGACTGCTTCTACAAACATTTGTGAAAGAATGGGTCGCTCTCAGGAGCTCAGTGAATTCAAGCGTGGTACCAAGATAGATTGCCACCTGTGCAATAAGTCCATCTGTGAAATTTCCTTGCTACTAAATATTCCACGGTCAACTGTTAGTGGTATTATAACAAAGTGGAAGCAACTGGGGACAATAGCAACTCAGCCACGAAGTGGTAGGCAAAGTAAAATGAGAGTCAATAGCTAAAGACCTCCAAACTTCGTGTGGCCTTCAGATTAGCACAACAACAGTGCATAGAGAGCTTCATTGAATGGGTTTCCATGGTCGAGCAGCTGCATCCAAGCCTTACATCACCAAGTGTAATGTAAAGGGTTGGATGCAGTGGTGTAAAGCACACTGCCACTGGACTCTAGAGTGATCAACCACACTTCTCTGTCTGGCAATCCTATGAACATGTCTGGGTTTGGTGGTTGCCAGGAGAACAGTACTTGCCTGATTGCATTGTGCCAAGTATAAAGTTTGGTGGAGGGCGGGGTATATGGTGTGGGGTTGTTTTTCAGGGGTTGGGCTTGGCACCTTAGTTCCAGTGAAGGAAACTCTTAAGGCGTCAGCATACCAAGACATTTTGGACAATGTCATGCTTATAACTTTGTGGGAACAGTTTGGGGATGGCCACTTCCTATTCTAACATGACTGCGCACCAGTGCACAAAGCAAGGACCATAAAAACATGGATGAGTGAGTTTGCGGTGGAGGAACTTGACTGGCCTGTACACAGTCCTGACCTCAACCTGATAGAACACCTTTGGGATGAATTAGAGCGGAGACTACGAGCCTGGCACAAATGCACTTCTGGAAGAATGGTCAAGCATTCCCATAGACACACTCCTAAAGCTTGTGGACAGCCTTCCCAAAAGAGTTGAAGCTCTTATAGATGCAAAAGGCGGCCCAAATCAATATTGAATCCCACGAACTAAGACTGGGAGGCCATTAAAGTTCATGTGCATGTAAAGGCCGGCATCCCAATTCCATTTGACAACATAGTGTGCGCATGTGTGTGTGTGTGTATATATATATATATATATATATATATATATATATATATATATATATATATATACACATATACAGTCAGGTCCATAAATATTGGGACATTGACACAATTCTAACATTTTTGGCTCTATACACCACCACAATGGATTTGAAATGAAACGAACAAGATGTGCTTTAACTGCAGACTGTCAGCTTTAATTTGAGTGTATTTACATCCAAATCAGGTGAACAGTGTAGGAATTACAACAGTTTGCATATGTGCCTCCCACTTGTTAAGGGACCAAAAGTAATGGGACAATTGGCTTCTCGGCTGTTCCATGGCCAGGTGTGTGTTATTCCCTCATTATCCCAATTACAATGAGCAGATAAAAGGTCCAGAGTTCATTTCAAGTGTGCTATTTGCATTTGGAATCTGTTTCTGTCAACTCTCAAGATGAGATCCAAAGAGCTGTCACTATCAGTGAAGCAAGCCATCATTAGGCTGAAAAAACAAAACAAACCCATCAGAGAGATAGCAAAAACATTAGGTGTGGCCAAAACAACTGTTTGGAACATTCTTAAAAAGAAGGAACGCACCGGTGAGCTCAGCAACACCAAAAGACCCGGAAGACCACGGAAAACAACTGTGGTGGATGACCAAAGAATTCTTTCCCTGGTGAAGAAAACACCCTTCACAACAGTTGGCCAGATCAAGAACACTCTCCAGGAGGTAGGTGTATGTGTGTCAAAGTCAACAATCAAGAGAAGACTTCACCAGAGTGAATACAGAGGGTTCACCACAAGATGGAAACCATTGGTGAGCCTCAAAAACAGGAAGGCCAGATTAGAGTTTGCCAAACGACATCTAAAAAAGCCTTCACAGTTCTGGAACAACATCCTCTAGGACAGATGAGACCGAGATCAACTTGTACCAGAGTGATGGGAAGAGAAGAGTATGGAGAAGGAAAGGGAACTGCTCATGATCCTAAGCATACCACCTCATCAGTGAAGCATGGTGGTGGTAGTGTCATGGCGTGGGCATGTATGGCTGCCAATGGAACTGCTTCTCTTGTATTTATTGATGATGTGACTGCTGACAAAAGCAGCAGGATGAATTCTGAAGTGTTTCGGGCAATATTATCTGCTCATATTCAGCCAAATGCTTCAGAACTCATTGGACGCCGCTTCACAGTGCAGATGGACAATTACCCAAAGCATACTGCAAAAGCAACCAAAGAGTTTTTTAAGGGAAAGAAGTGGAATGTTATGCAATGGCCAAGTCAATCATCTGACCTGAATCCGATTGAGCATGCATTTCACTTGCTGAAGACAAACCTGAAGGCAAAATGCCCCAAGAACAAGCAGGAACTGAAGACAGTTGCAGTAGGGGCCTGGCAGAGCATCACCAGGGATGAAACCCAGCGTCTGGTGATGTCTATGTGTTCCACACTTCAGGCTGTAATTGACTGCAAAGGATTTGCAACCAAGTATTAAAAAGTGAAAGTTTGATTTATGATTATTATTCTGTCCCATTACTTTTGGTCCCTTAACAAGTGGGAGGCACATATGCAAACTGTTGTAATTCCTACACCGTTCACCTGATTTGTATGTATATACCCTCAAATTAAAGCTGACAGTCTGCAGTTAAAGCACATCTTGTTCGTTTCATTTCAAATCCATTGTGGTGGTGTATAGAGCCAAAAATGTTAGAATTGTGTCGATGTCCCTATATTTATGGACCTGACTGTACGTGAACATACAAACAGATTAAGAACAATGTGAAAATTGAAGACGTCCAGATGTCAGATATACTGTGTGTATGTTTCCCCTGCAGAGTGCTAATCACAAGGATATATGTATGTGAATCAACTAGTAGTTGTGAGATTGGCACTGGAGGGTCTACATATATACATGCCCCAGGGCACATTAACAATAGATGGTCTGCAGTTAAAGCACATCTTGTTCATTTAATTTCAAATCCATTGTGGTGGTGTATAGAGCCAAAAATATTAGAATTGTGTCCATGTCCCAATATTTATGGACCTGACTGTATATATATATATATATATAGATATATATATATAGATATATATAAAATTTACATACACACACCTTGACAAATTTGCTTTGAACCTAGAAACCAGCTTAAAAATTTAGGAGCTAGGGTTTTTTTTTTTTTTTTTTTTTAGCGTAGTGTGGATTGTCAGCGCCCAGGGTAAGGCAACCTTTTGGCAACAAGCTTCACGCGACGTGATTTGCCACTCAACAATCACAGCAAAACGGTACCACATTTTAGGTACCTTTGAAAATGATGGCACCTGATCCTTCATTTTGCGATTGCAGCGATTCTGCCGCAATTCCAAAATGCCCAGGTGTGAATGGAGTCACCCTGGTTCACACATATTCGATTCAGGATGCATTTTCAAACTCACAGATTCACATGACAGGCTAGATATTATGGGGTTTATTTACTAAAGCTGGAGAGTGCAAAATCAAGTTCACTTCTGCATAAAAAGCAATCAGCTTTCAGGTTTTATTGCCAAAGCTTAATTGAACAAGCTGGGGTTACAAGTTGATTGGCTACCATGCACAGGTGCACCAGATTCTGAGTGAAGCAGCTTTAGTAAATCACCGCCTATGTGTTAATATTGAGTTGGTTCACACAGATGCAATCCATATGCACTATGTTGAGTGCCATTATGAAAAGGGTCCTGTGCGAGTTTGTAGTGGTGCATTCCAGACCAGGGGCGGACTGACAACTTATGGGGCCCCCGGGCAATAGGGGATCATGGGGCCCCTGTGTCCTTGCCCAAACTCAAAAAAGGCTAAGAAAAAGGTACCAGAGGCATCTCATGGGGCCCCCTACTGACCCCGGGCAGTGCCCAAGTTTCTAAATGGTCAGTCTGCCCCTGTTCCAGACTCACAAGTGAGTAGGAGTGGCATGCGTAGATAAGTGTTCACATAGGATTGCTATTGACAGGCAGTTTTGCATTGAAGTTTATGAGAGGCATTTTTGCATTGAGGTCTATGGGATGCGATTTTGCATTGGACGCCTATGGGCATGATTTTGCATTGACGCCTATGGGACGTGATTTGGAATTGACGCCTATGGAACACAATTTTGAATTGACTATGGGACACAATTTTGAATTGACGCCTATGGGATGGGATACACCCCTTCATAGAAACTGTATTCCCTGTTGGCAATGGCCTCTTCCAGCAGAAAAACATGACCTGCCACACTGCAAAAATGGTTCAAGAATGGTTTCAGGTGTTCACTTAGCCTCCAAAATCCCCAGATCTCAATCCATCGAGTATCTGTTGAATGTGCTGAAAAAACAAGACCAATTCATGGAGGCCCGAAAATGTAACTTATAGGACTTAAAGGTTCTGCTACCGACAGCTTGGTGCCAGATACCACAGCATACCTTCAGAGGTCTAGTGGCACCCCTCCCCTCAATGAGTCAGGGCTGTTTTGGCAGTACAAATGTGGGTGGTCATAAAGTCATGGCTGATCAGTGTGTATGTATGTATAATATAAATATATATTAAAAAACAAAATCACAGACACAGGCAGTTTCAGCCGCACATGGACCTACCAGCTCCACTAATTCCCAGTGCCATTTTAAAACAGCTCTTGAACAAACAGCCATTCTTCTCAGCTCCATTATAAAACTGTGTTTGGGACTCAAATGGTTAAAGTGAAAACAAGCAGGCAGTAGCAAGTTAAAGTCCTCAATATAAAATTACCAATGCTTTGAGCCACGAAACAGGCTCATTTTCAAGAACTGAGTAATAAGCAACCTCAAACCATCCTTTAAATAGTCACAGCAAATCTCCTCTACTCAATAAAAACAAAGTAATTGCTTGTAGCGTCCTAATTTATGCCATTAGGCTTTCCTTTTCATGTACGAGGCATTTGATAAGAATTGGATCGGAGTGCGCTTCAGTAGATGATACAAGGTATTTATTTTTTTTAAAACAGAGAATAAAAAGCCAATGAATAATTTTGCTAAAAAAGACACAGTACCTTCAAAATCTTGTTGAAAAAGACACAGCAACTAAGAAAACTAATTACAAAAAGTTCTTAAACATTTAAAATACAGTACACAGAGCAGAAGTCCATACAAATGGAAATGCAAAACTCCTATGTACCACTACTGCCCCCTGGTGGAGCCGTGGCTGCTATGTGCGATCCTGGCTACCCTCTTAATGAACAAGCTAAACATGAAAAGTTAATTCCCTCTGCTCTTCCTGAACATTTGTTTTACTTGAAACAAACAAACTGGTCAAACCACAAGAGAGCATACTGCACACTTTAAAAACACCAAAACCAAAATTTTACTTACAAGGAAACAAGTTATCCCGTTTTTAAATGCTGTATACAGTTTATACATTGAAAATAAATATTGATAGTCTTAATTAAAAAAAAAAAAAAAAAGTGACTAAAAGAGGACATGTTTTAGAATGTTGTTCTAGAAATACGAGCAAATGTTTAGTAGCATATTCAAAAAAAAAATTCAGTAAAACAATATAAAGATAGGAAATGTACCAAAGGTGGCCCCTAATATGTTTTGAATCTTATACTGTATATACCAATAAAAAAAACATAAGGTTGTCTTACTAAAGTATAGGCTGCTCACTTGGCAAAATGAATGTTCATCTAGCTTAGTAAATACGGCAAAGTTTTAATTACCCAATCATGTGCAAGCAAAAATCCTGGGTTTTTTTTTTCGTTATTCTTGTAAACGATTTCATTCTCTTTTTTTACATTTTTACCACGTATAAGATTACAGGTACAAAAATAAAATTGCATAGCTATTGTTATTACAGGTACTTATATAGCACTGTCCATTTACGCATTGCTTTACATATACAGTGGGGCAAAAAAGTATTTAGTCAGCCACCAATTGTGCAAGTTCTCCCACTTAAAAAGATGAGAGAGGCCTGTAATTGACATCATAGGTAGACCTCAACTATGAGAGACAAAATGAGAAAACAAATCCAGACAATCACATTGGCTGATTTGGAAAGAATTTATTTGCAAATTATGGTGGAAAATAAGTATTTGGTCAATATCAAAAGTTCATCTGAATACTTTGTTATATATCCTTTGTTGGCAATGACAGAGGTCAAACGTCTCCTGTAAGTCTTCACAAGGTTGGCACACACTGTTGCTGGTATGTTGGCCCATTCCTCCATGCAGATCTCCTCTAGAGCTGACTAAATACTTTTTTGCCCCACTGTATATTGTACATTCACATCAGTCCCTTCCCTCAAGGGGTATACAATATAAGGTCCCTAACTCACATTCATACATACACATACTAGGACCAATTTAGACAGGAACCAATTAATTGAAGTATTATTATTATTATTTATACAGGATTTATATAGCGCCAACGGTTTGCTCAGCGCTTTACATTTTAGTGGGAGACAATACAGTAACAATACAGTTCAATACAAGAGGGATTTGAGGGCCCTGCTCCTTGGAGCTTACAATCTAGCAGGGAGGGGTTAATGGTACAATAGGTAATAACTGTGGGGGGATGGACTGGTTGGAAGAGTAGGGGATTCCAGTATTAGCAGAGGGTGAGATAGGCTTCCCTGAAAAGATAGGTTTTCAGTGATCGCCTAAAAGTAAGTAGAGTAGGCGATAGTCTGATAGATTGGGGTAGGGAGTTCCAGAGGATGGGGGACGCCCTGGAGAAGTCCTGGAGACGAGCATGGGAGAAGGAGATAAGGGAGCTAGAGAGTAGGAGGTCTTGCGAGGAACGGAGAGTACGGTTTGGGTGATATTGAGAGACAAGATCAGTTATGTAATTTGGGGCAGTGTTGTGGATGGCTTTATATGTCATTGTAAGTGTTTTGAATTTTATCCGTTGGGCAACTGGGAGCCAGTGGAGGGACTGGCAGAGAGGGGTGGCAGATACAGAACGGTTAGTAAGGTGGATGAGTCTGGCAGCAGCATTAATGATGGACTGGAGTGGGAATAGCCTGCGATGAGGTAGGCCAATGAAGTAGCCAGAGTTAACCCACGCAGGCACAGGGAGAACATGCAAACTTCAGGTAGATGATGCCGTGGTTGGGATTCGAACCAACAACCCTAGTGCTGCCAGGCAGAAGTGCTAACTATTTAGCCACTGTACTTCCCTCATAAAAACAACTGTACAGACTACAGCTACCTCACCTTCCACCACCTTTTTTTAATAAGTGAACATGCTTTGCTGCATTAATAAATCAACCACACTGTCTCTGTAATGGCCAACAAAAAAATCTGTATTTAGCATCTGCCCAGTGTGCAGAAATGTGTCAGCTGATTTCTCACTGGTCGCTATAGTGTGCATTACATTGCACTATGGGGCATATTCATAAAGCAGTGAAACTGACATTTAGCAAACATTCACTCCAGGAGAATCGTCCAGGTGCATGTGTTTTACCTGTTCACTTCCAGAGCCATTTTTGCTTTGCACATTTTAGGCCTGAAGATGAATTAAAGCATAGATTCTGAAAGCAGACTATGCAGAATAAAATCATGGTAGTTCCATTTTTTTATGTCACACTATATTAGTGCAGCTTTTTATAAAACACAATATATTAGCAAATATTTTGGTTAAAAGAACAAAAAAAAAAATATTGGGTTGTGTCAAGTAAATAAACATGTCAAACCTCAAAATTACACAAGCTTGTGAAACAGCGATAAACAAAAGTATCCAAAATTGTCCATAGGAAACACTTTAAAAGCCGTTCAGGTCATCAGTCTAGAGTGAACTGTGATTAATGATTCTAGAATTATTGCTTACACTCCGCTGTGCATAGTGATTCCTAAATATGTGAAGCACAATCAATATGTTCAGGCACAGGCGCACCAGACAGCACAGTTACGTTTGTATCTGAGTGTTTGTAGGGGCAGGGGGCTTTAAAAAAATGTTTTCTTTTTTTTTTTATTTCATTTTAAAACTTTTTTTTTTCCGTTTAACTCAAATGTATTGCTATCATATAGGGGACTGACAAGACCCCTAAAATATTAGTCTTATTGGTTCTGCAAGAGTAAGTTCTTCATTAGAAGTATATCTGCTGGTACACAGGAGCTCAACTGGCTAATCAAGATTAAAAGGTGTTGTGACGGGAGTCGCTTTGGGTGGGGGGCCCATGGAACACAGCCCCCTTTAAAGAAGTGGGGAGACCCCTGTTTTAGCTCCCCATATCCCTCTTATGTGTAAGTCACCCTGTGCCTGTTAGGGGTACAGGGTGGAATGTCCTGCTATTGTGTAGACATGTATAGGTGGGGGTTGTTCATTGTTCTGCCATGTGGCTGCATCCCATTGTTCTATTGTGTGTCTTGCTTGGGAGCAAACTATTATGGGATGTGTTTGTGTATTGGCTTGGTGGGGGGTGTTTTCCGGCAGCCATTCCCCTTATGGGACTGCCTGCTGATGTGTTCCTGTTACTGTGTATTTCCCCGCCCTGTGTATATATCTTGTATCTATGTTAAAATAAAGCAGTCTATCTCCTGGAATCCTTCAAGTCTGGTGCGGTCTCCTCTTGTATGGTCAGCAGTGGTGTGTTTGGAAAGGGAAGCGAGAGTAAAACGAAAATACCAAATACCCTAGTGCAGTCGGGGTCCGGTTCAGTTACAGGTGTCACACAGGTGTCAGGTGTTAAGGACACACCTAAGGGCTCCTTCACACGGGTGTTCTGTTTTTTTCATCAGATCAGTCGCATTTTGTTTTCTAAATCGGAGCTATATGGATCAAGACTTCACTATTTACCTCGGTTTTCATATCTGTTTACATCTGTTTTTTCATCAGTTTCTCGTCAGTTTTTACATCATTTACCGATGCAAATACAGGTGCAAAAACAGACCATATATCCTCTTACTAGTGGTGCACCAAAATGAAAATTCAAAATTCACTTGGCCGAAAACCGAAATGCACAGTTTTTAAAAATTAATATACCGTATTTTGCGCTCCATAAGAAGCACCTAGGTTTTAGAGGTGAAAAATAAGAAAAAAATATTCTGAACCAATGGTCTTCTGTGACAGCCGGGGGCCCACTGCAGATGCGCGAGAAGCGCTGCGCTTTGTGAATGGTCCGGCGACTTCTGGGACACATGACAGGTCCCAGAAGGTGCCAGGCCTTTCACAAAGTGCAGCGCTTCTTGCATATGCGCAGTGGGCACCTGGTTGTCACAGAAGCCAGCGTGCCCACACTAAAGAAAGGACAACTTCAGGTACTCGCTCCCCCTCCCTCCCTAAAGGTCAGTACAGGAGATGACCAGAGACTGCAGGACACAGTACAGGAGGTGACCAGAGACTGACACAGACACAGTACAGGAGATGACCAGAGACTGCGGACACAGTACAGGAGATGACCAGAGACTGCGGACAGTACAGGAGATGACCAGAGACTGCGGACACAGTACAGGAGACGACCCGAGACTGCAGACACAGTACAGGAGATGACCAGAGACTGCGGACACAGTACAGGAGATGACCAGAGACTGCAGACATAGTACAGGAGATGACCAAAGACTGCAGACACAGTACAGGAGATGACCAGAGACTGCAGACACAGTACAGGAGATGACCAAAGACCAGACACAGGAGATGACCAGAGACTGCGGACACAGTGCAGGAGATGACCAGAGACTGCGGACACAGACAGTACAGGAGATTGACCAGAGACTGCAGAGACTGCAGACAGTACAGAGGATAACCAGAGACTGCAGGCAGTACAGGGGATAACCAGAGACTACAGGCAGTACAGGGGATAACCAGAGACTGCAGACAGTACAGGAGATGACCAAGAGACTGCGGACCTTTAGGGAGGGAGGGGGAGCGAGTACCTGAAGTTATCCTTTCTTTAGTGTGGGCACGCTGGCTTCTTCCCGCGCTGGCTTCTGTGACAGCCGGGTGCCCACTGTGCATACGCAAGAAGCACTGCACTTTGTGAAAGGCCTGGAGCCTTCTGGGACCTGTCATGTGTCCCAGAAGTCGCCGGACCATTCACAAAGCGCAGCGCTTCTCGCGCATCTGCAGTGGGCCCCCGGCTGTCACAGAAGTCGGCGCAGGAAGACCACAGAGGAACAGGTAAGGTCCTGCAGGAGAGAAGAGCTGAGCGGCCGGCCCGGTATTTTGACATGGTGGCGGAAATACTGGACCGGCCGCTCAATATTCGCTCAATAAGACGCACTGACATTTCCCCCCCCCCCCCCTCCCCTTTTGGGGGGAAAAAAGTGTGTCTCATGGAGCAAAAAATACGATATATTTTTTGGGAAAAAAAAATACACTTTTTTTAATCAAACAATATATACCCCAACTTTTTTGCAAAATATGAAAGGGAATGTTAAGGCGAGTAAATAGACACCCAATATGTCACGCTTTAAAATTGTGCACACTCGAGGAATGGCATGAAACTGCGGTACTTAAAAATCTCAAATGGGTGATGCTTTAGAAATGTCTACAGGTTAGCAGTGTAAAGTTACAGAGGAGATCTGGTGCAAGAATTATTGCCCTTGCTCCGTCGTTCGTGGCAATACCTCAGTGTGCGGTCTGAACATAATTTAAATATGTGGGCATGGCCTACGTAAGCGTTCAACATTATGTGCAAGCACGGGGAGACGGGGGCACTTTAAACTTTTTTTTTTAAAAATGTATTTAATGTTTTTTGGGGTTTTTTTGCACTGTTCTTTTAAAAAAAATGGAATCACTTTTATTCTTATCACAAGAAATGCCTGCATCCCTTGTGATAGAAATAATTAGTGACAGGTCCTCTTTATGGAGAGATATGGGGTCAATAAGACCCCACATCTCTCCTCTACAATGTAAAGCATTGGATAAAAAAAAAAAAAGCACTGATCTAGTGCTTTCAAAAAAAAAAAAAAAATGGCCGGAAGGGGAAGTGACATTGCTTTGGTCCTCCAAGGCCATCTTTCCTTCACTCATCTCTATGCCCAGCACCGGGATCGATAGTTTCCCAGGTAAGGCTGAACTACCGAGCGGTGGCCGTTGGCAGCAAGAGGGTTTTTCGGCACCTGTATCAGTGCTTTTTTTTTTCATTTCGGCCGATGGCCGAAAGGGGTGTTTTCGGCCGAAGCGTTTTGGCCATCGAAATTTCGGTGCATCCCTACCGCTTACATACGTTTACATCTGTTTTTCAGATGTAAAATTCCCTGATTGCTGCCAATTCATCTCTTTTCATGCTATTGGGATCATATATGTATAAAAATTGATTTTTCAGCTTACCAGAAGGAAATTGTGTATCAAAAGGGTTGATTTATTATTTTAAAGTGTGAGTGCAATATGAACATTTTTTTATTAAGGGCTTTATACAGTATTAAGCTATTAGGCTATCCCCCTTCCTTTTTGCATCCACCATCCATCCATGAGCGTAAGTTTGTGGATTACCAGGGAAGGATTGCTGGGGATCATTTGGAAGGATTTGTGTCCATTTGAGCTTGCAGTCGATTTTTTAAATGTGAGTGTAATGGTTAATATTTGAAAAAAAAATTTTTTGCAGTATCACACGACTTTTTTCTTTTTTTCTTTCATCCACTCGGGAGGTATTGATTAAGAAAATACTGAAGTAATCGGCAGATTTGTTCAGAAGATCTCATCACAACTCCAAAATGTGTTTAATTCATGAAGTCATTTTCCACTTGGCAATCACCTGATTAAGCGAGTGTGAGTGAAAACTTGCACCATGTAGATGATTTTGAGCACGTTGGTAATTATATTGTTTCTATTATTTTATTGAAGTTTCTTTGAAACACGAGACTTTTTATTTGGGACTTTATTTGTTTTTTTGTCTCTGTAATTGGTTTGAGCTGGGTTTTTTTTGTGTGCACTACACTCTATGTAGGTGTACCAAGCCCTCCTCAGCTAGGCCAGGCTACCACTACTACTACTACTACTTCCCTAAGGTGTTACCATTGCATCTACCCCTATTGCTAGTGAGACTCTTGTCCTGGACACAACCTAACTTGTTGTAGAACCTGGAAGTCAGTAGATCCACATCCAGAGTTCCTAAACGCTAGCAGATTGCCAAGAATATCTTGGGATACAGAGACCATTCTCCCGGTATCAGCCGCTGACCTCTGTGGAAAAAAATCTCCTGCCAGTTTCTATACGTGGAATATGTACTGTCGACAGATAGCACGTGCTGTTCTGCACCAGACAGAATGTAGTTAACCTTTTACTGAACCACACTACTCCTGGTGCCGCCCTGATGGTTGATATATGCCACTGCCGTGGCATTGTCAGACCGAACCCTGACCACAAACCTGTGCAACTAGTTCGTCCAATAATCAAGAGCAAGGTATACTGCTATACTGCCCGAAGTTCCAAGATATTGATGGTCAGTATTCCCTCCTGTGCAGACAAAGTCCCCGGAACGGTTACCAACTCCAAACCAGCCCCCCAACTGGAGAGATTGGCATTGGTGGTTACCATCTTCCATATCACTCAGTTACCCTTTCTCCAGATTTCGAACACAAACTCAGACTCTGCAATACCCCAGGGAGAAAGCCCTCCAGCAATCCAATGCTTGGAACTTCATGATCCAAACAGAGAATGTTCCTCTACAAAAGATCTGGAGTGGAATCGCACATAGGAAACTGCTTCAACGTAGATATAATTTCCTCATGCAGCAACCTATTGAAGGATACTTTTTGCTTCTCATATTTCACTTTAAACTTGGAACTGACTGCTCCCTGAGCAAAGAAACATTAAGATATTCTGAGGTTGACACCCCCCTGTGTCCTCAGCAAACCCAGCACCAAGGCTAGGAGCTTTGTGAACACACGAGAGGCTGTGGCCAGCCCAAAGGGCAGTGCCGCCCCCCCCCCCCATAAAATGGTGATTTTTTACTGGAAATCACAGAATCTCTTGATGAGCCTGAAAAAACTGGCACAGGAAGATGTGTCATTGAGGACTATGGACACCTGAAATTTCTCTCTTGCAGAAAAGCCACCACTGATCAGACCGATCCCATCTGAAACAGAAGGACATCTAGACTTATGCCTTGAGATCTAAGATAGACATCATATCCATGTTTGGTTTTGGGCCTGCAGACCTGTCAAGTGTCTCAAATCACCTCAGAGACTGCCCTGGCATCCTCTACCCGAGATATTTCTCAAAACACAGCCGTCTCAGACTCTGGAGGGGAAAAGCTTCCCTCCAAGTACTAACCAGCGCAGACCCTGCTTAGCTTTTGAGTTCAGACAAAATCAGGTGCATTCAGTCTAATGTGTTGCAGTCCATTGCAGCTCCACCACCAGGAATAGCAGCAATTCCAGACAAACACAGTGGCCCAGATATACCTGACACCACTGATCTATCAAGAAATGTGAACACCGCCAGATTATCTTCTCCAAGTCCACTGGACCTGAGGGTGGAGCACCTGCTTCTTGGCTGCCACCCCCTTCTGGGACCCTTTAAGTCAATAATATAGCAACTATATTGTCACCTAAGTATGCAGTCCCACAGGGATGCAAGTCCATGTTGGTCTACAGTTATACAATCACGCAGGCAAGCAAGCATGGAGTTATGCAGGTACACAGGTATGTAGGTACATAAGTCTGCATTTATGCAGTTTAGTTTATGCAAGTATACAGGTACTCAGCTATGCAAGTAAGCAGATTATCCAAGTACACAGTTCACACATGTATGCGTGTAAGTATGCAATTTATCCAAGTGCATGTATGCATGTACGTATGCAGTATGTGCAAATATGCATGTACGTATGCAGTTTATGCAAGTATAAGTATGCAGTCTATGCAAGTATGCATGTACGTATGCAGTCTGTGAAAGTAAGTATGCATTTAAGTATACATTTAAGCATGCATGTACCTATGCAATTTATGCATTTTAGTATGCATGCACTTATGCAGTTTATGTAATTATATACAGTTCAAATAATTATGCAGGTATGAATGCAATAATGTAATACGATGCTACAACTGCCCCACTTTCTAGAAACGTATTGTTTCTTCAAAGAACTGTATCAAAATAACTGCACTTGGTTCCATACTAGTTTTGCAGGACTAGTCAAACACATATGCATCAAACTCAGCCTGCATGCAGCCTCTATGATGCTTCACTGCAGTCTAAATGTAAGCTCCTTCAGATCATTTTTAATATTGGAAAACGTGGTCTTTACCATAGGAACAGTTGGGGACTGGTCTGAAGGACATAGTAATCCTAAATGTAAGATATTTATTAAATTTTGGCTTATACCTCATAATATACAATTGATGGATCTCTTCTTTACCTCCACGAGGAATTGGGGAAGTTGAAAAGGGTACTACCTGCATGGTGGATGGAAGTTGCCAAGCATACATTATATATCCTGGAATGCTGGTTTTTACTGCATAAGGGTAATTGCCTTGAATCCCACCAGTGTGAGATATCACAGAGTGTGCACTTCACCTTTTGATGTGTATTGGAAGCTGACAGGCGAATACTATATACATTTAGAAATCCTTGTTTTGATTCCAAGAGGGTAATT